ACCTCTAATGAATCATGTGACCTTCTGAGGAGCAGATTCAGGAGAATAATTAGCAGATATTTGTCATTATCTCACAAAGTTACCAAGATTTTGAGAAAGAACATTTGATCCATGACACAGGTTTAGTGTTTGGAAACAACTGCCAATCAGGTGGGGAGAACATGTGGAGGAAGCTTTATATCTGCTTTGAACTGATGGAACTTTTACAAAGAGTTCTTTTCTACATTATTACATTATGAGTGATAATATATCTGATATATTTTTCTTAATAAATCCATATTTATCTTAGTTTATTCTTCTTAGATATAAATAAGGGAAATGCTTAAGTACAAACACACATACTGCCAATCATATATATTTTAAACAGTAATAAAGAACTTTTAAATCTCAGATCACAAAGCTGATCTCTAGATCTGTGAAAAGTAGCAAAGTCCAGGTAAAATTCATGTTCAGTCTAAAAAAGAATTTTTATGGCATTACATATTATGGTCTTCATATAAGCAATATTTCATAACTAAAATCCTGCTGTCTTAAGTGTTCTACTTACCAGTATATTTGTTACTGTCTTGAAATATGATTGACATGTGACAAAATATATACACAATTTTATGGGATCTAACTCTATGATAAAAAGAATTAAAAGAAAGAATAATTATAGGACAGGGTGGGTGTGGCCAGGGTGGGTGTGGCCAGCTCACCATCACTCATGTCAGGGATGCCTGTGGTGGCCTGAGTTCTCTGCCAATGAAAATGGGCTCCTCAACTCCGTTTTCAGCTGCAATAGCCTCCTGCAATCATCTGCTAGTGAAAATAGAGCTCAGGAGGGCTATGGACAGCCACTTGAGTTCTGTTTTCACTGGCAGAGGCACCACAGACCAGTCCCTTGCTGTTTACAAGGTGGCCTCACAGACCAGATCTAAGCACCCCATGGGCCGAATCCAGCCTTGAGTTTGACACCCTGCTCTAGAGACTGATCACAATTCTACTGCTGAAATGAATGGGTAAATTGCAAAATAAGAAAATGAATGATTATCTTATAGTATCTCTCACTATACTCCAGGGGGTGGGAGGGTGGGAATAATCATCTTCCTCAGCATTCTGCTGAAAGAGCCAATTGTGGATCTTTTTTCTCTGCCCCAATTTCATTCTGCAATGAAAGCACAATATTTCTTTGGAACACCAAAGTACATAATTTCCCATAGTAATGCTAATAATAAAATGTAACAAAATTCTTCAATTATTTTTAGAATTTCAAGTAAAATCTGATAAAGATTAAAAGTGCAACATAGACATTTTGGGGCAGATATTGAATATTCCCAAGAAAGCAACTCCAGTTATTTTATTTCTCTAATTTAACAATCTCTTTTGAATCCCATGCCCAATTTTTTTTTCATAAAAGTTCTATGTCAGTAAAAAAATCCCCTAATGAATCACTCTCTGAGGAGCATATTCTTTAGAAACCATTAGAATATTTTTGTTATTAGCTCTCAAAAGTACCTAGAAATATCAGAGATTTTGAGAAATATAATTTGATCCACAATTCAGGTTTCATGTTTTGAAATATCTGCTAGCCCAAATCCCAGATAATATGCTTGTTTGCTTGCTTAGTATATGTTTGTTTGTTTATCTATCAATCAAAACATCTTATCCCCCCATATGAATATGTGAATGAATCCAGTTGAATTTTAAATTGCCATCATTTGGATATTTTGTACATTTAATCTTTCTCTTAGAGTCAGTAAGGAAGTTTGTTTACTAATATCCCTTGAAAATGTCAGGTTTTGTCATTAAAGCATGTAAGAATAGTTAAGATTGTAGATTTGGCTTCTGTTCATTAGTATACAGGAGAAGACAGAGAATGATGAAACACAGTTGTTTTTAAGCTTTGAAACATCCTTTTGAAATACACCATAGTAGCTTGAAGAACTATACTTCATTCTTCCTGCCTTCATTATTATTGTGAAATAAGTAAAATGCTTTTCTTGCTTCCCCTTGATGTTTTTCTTGGCAGTTTTCATAAATACTTATAATAGTTGGAACAAGTAGATGAAGTTTTTGAAAGTATGTGATCATCTTCTTAATCTGATGAAGAGTACTACACTATTTTTTCTACCCATATGGATTCCGGATTCAACTCTGTTTTTCCATAGGGACTTCAGTTATTCCTACTATATTTTAAAGCTGAACAATTTATAGACCAGCTACTGAATGGGGGACATAATTTATAAACAAAAAAAAACTTTGTCTAATTAAAAATGACTTGAGAGAGCCTTCAGTGCTCAATCTAGTGAGTGAAAATAAAATACAAAAAGCTTATTAAAGAGCTAAAACTGCAAAATCTGGCATGTGTATAGAATGAGTGAAAACCTGCCCACTGAGAATCATGAGAGATACTCAAGTAAATTCAGTCAAGACTTCCTGATTGAACAAATCAAAGCTAAAACTGCTAGGTTGTTATGGATGAGGATTTGGAACCTATTGCTCATTTTTCTTTAAACAAGACCTTACATAAGCTTTGTCTTGGCACTCTATATTCTCCATGTAATTCATTTCCCTAAAGCAGATTATACGGTCTCCATTTGTCAACTGGGTCATAGGGAATTTTCCTCCATTGTGAGCTGATATGGGATTGAACAGAATATTGGATTAAGGCCAGAAAGAGTATTAAATTTTATTTAAGCATCTTGTATGATCTCCATTCATCAGTAGGGTCGTGGGAGTTTTTATTCTTCAGTACTATTTTGTCTGGCCATTTGGTTTTGGGTTGTTTTCCTCTACATTCTCTAATTCATACAAATCCATCCAACTTCAATTTCAATGTTAATATAATTATTTGTACCTGCTATTTTGCAGCTTGGCTAGTATATTTTAAATGCTATTATAAACCCACACATTTGCTTACTTGAAACAACTTAAAATATCAAAATTTTAGAAATTGATATGCATTTATTTGATATTTAATTTTAAATAATCTGTAACTACTTTCTCCTTTGGATATAGATGAGATTAAAAAGAAATTCATTAGAAATAATAGCTAAGTGCAGGACTTCATTGATGTTTGATAAAATGATATCAAATCTATGTTGAACAACTTTTTTCCCACCAAACTCTAAAAACTATATAATGAAAATTTTGAAAGTTATATATTAACTTCTTCATTTAATGAAATATATCTCACAATTATATCAAAACCTGCTACAGTTCACTTGATCAATTTGCATTCATTGATCAATATAAATATTAAAATTTTAACTGAATGTTTAGCTAAGAGACTTTAGCAAATAACTTTTAACAGTAAATATGGGACATGGATCTGATTATATTTGACTAGTATAGTATTTGTTTAATTTGAATAAAGACATTAAAGACAAAGTCACAATTCTATTGTTTAAAATGGAAAAGTTTTATTCATGAAATCTTTAGACAGAATACGTATGTTACCTTAGTTAGTTAGATAAAGCTCTGCCAACCAAATTTCCTTAAAGGTATTTTCATGTTTCAGAAAATAAGGTCCAGCCGGCCAATGTCGCTTGGCAACTACCCGGAGGAGAGCCTTCTCGGTGGCTGCTCTGACCCTCTGGAACAAACTCCCCATGGAGATTCATACCCTCACCACCCTCCAGACCTTCCGCATTGCCCTTAAAGCCTGGCTGTTCCGACAGGCCTGGGGCTAAAGACTTCAACCCCACTCAAATGGTATGACTGTTGTGCTTTTTTAACGGTGCATTGTCTTTATGTCTGTAACTTGTCTGTTCTTCCCTTCCCCTTGAATTGTGAGCCACCCTGAGTCCCCCCAGGGAAAAGGGCGGCATACAAATAAAGTAAACTAAACTAAAAAAAAACAACTAATATGTCATTTGCTTTGTTCTGACTATATATGAAACAAGGAACCATTTATCACATAGAAATGTAAAGATTTGTAAACTTTTTTGATTTTCAATATTTCTGTAAAAAAATATGGACTAAAACATTATCCAATCCCCATACGTCATAAAATGAGATAAATATAAAACCATTTGTATAATCATTTAAATAAATGATTATACATATACATTTAAGGAAAATGATTTGAATAATAAATATTATATTAATGTAAGCATTGTAACAATTAAGATAATATCTAGTCCATTGTTTGTGTTGCCAATCACTTGTACATAGTGCTAAAAATTTCATCCTTCTCCTTTATATATCCTTCTCTTTTATATATTGAATTATGATAATGGAGAAAAATGCATGTTAGGAAAATTGCTCATGGTTTCATAACAACATTCTACTAACAGAATATTACATTTATCATACTAAAGAGAGTCCAATCAAGTTAGGAAATTCTTTTTGATATTTGATGTGATCCAAGGACTGTATGTCAAGAGTGAAAATAGATAGAAATAGATAGGAACTAAAACATGATCCATTAGCCATACAAATGATGAAGTTGGGCTCTCTTTTTATTATAAATATATTATTTCATAATTAAAGTACTGAGATCTAGTCAAGTTGATCAATTACCTTGTTTTGTCTCTATATGAAGCAAGGAACCACATTACCTATCATATAACTTGAAAGTAAATACAATAGTGTATTTAAGATTTGTGTAACTCTCTGAATTGTTAATACTTATAAATAGGAACTACTAAAACATGATTCCTCCTCTATACAAATAGTAAAAGTAGACAAAGAGAAAACCAAGTAAATAAATTATTCAAAAAATGTCTTGTTCATTTATTTACTGAGAAAAATATGCAAATAATAAATTATATATTAGTGTAAGAATAACAATTAGGAGCAAAAGTCTCAGTCTAGTGTTTCTGTTGCCAGTTAATTGTGCAGTTATGTCCTACACAATTTTAATCTTCTCTCCATTATATCCAAATGCTTTGCAATATACAGTGTGACCTATACAGTATGTTAGAGTAAAATAGAGGAAGAGACATCCAAGGAGAATCTCTCATCCTTTCACAAGGACATGTTATATTTGTCATACTGAAGACAATCAAATTAGTTTAGGATTTATTATTAGTTTGTTTGTTTCTTTTTGATGTTATTTTCCATACAGCTACTTGAATGTTCTTGTTCCGGAGGCTATAAATGATGGGATTCATAACAGGAGGCACAATTGTATATGAAACAGCAGAAAGCAAGTCTATAATGGGAAAAGAAAGAGATTTTGGCCTCATGTATGAAAACAAACATGTAGACATGAATAAAGAAAAAACTGTCAAGTGTGGAATACAAGTCGAGAATGCTTTGGATCTTCCTTCAACTGATTGAATTTTCAGTACAGCAGAAATAATATAGACATAAGAAGCAAAAACCAATCCTGAACAAAATGAAGACACAATGAATCCAAATATCCAGATCACTATCTGGTTCACTTTTGTATCTGTGCAAGAAATCTTTTGTAACTGAGGAATGTCACAGAAAAATTGCCCAATTGTGTTTGGTCCACAGAAGCGTAATTGGAAAGTGATGACTGTTTGTACAGATCCATATAGCAGGGAACTGACCCAGGAAATAACTGCCATTTGATTGTATGCACCCCAGTTCAAGATGACACTATATTGTAGAGGATGGCAAATAGCTATGTAACGGTCATAAGCCATAATAGTTAGCAAGGAAACCTCAGAACAAGTAAAGCTAACAATTAAAAAAACTTGAGCAACACACCCAGGAACAGTAATTATTTTGTCATCTGTCAATGAAACTGCCATGGATTTGGGGACTGTGGTTGTGATTAAACAAATATCAGTTAGGGACAGGTTAGCCAAAAAGAAATACATAGGGGTGTGCAGGTGGTGATTCAGGAATACAACAACAATTATAAGTAAATTTCCAGTTAAGGCTAATAAGTAAATAAATAGAAAAATGACAAAATGTAGACGTTGTACATCACAGTCATCAGAAAATCCCATCAGAAGGAATTTCACCACAGTGGATTGGTTGGCCATTCCAGTTCTTTCAATCATTCTGTACAAAACCAGATTTTGATTGGACAAAACAAAACAAATATAATTACTCATATCAATTTATTGCCAGAGCATAGTTAAAATTCATTGTCAAAATGTTTTTTCCAAAAGTTAAATGGACACAATTAGTGCATTTGGGCAATAACATACATACTCATTCCCTGTATTTATTTATTTTTTTTACTATAATGCAAGATTTACTGGTGCATAAATTTGCAAAAACCCACAGTTTATGTCTAAGAATTCTGAAGAAAATAAAATGCACACCACAAGGCCAGGATGTTAATGAAAGAAAACAATGGGCTGAAGGTAAGTAGGGAAACAAGCATCTATGTACAGGATTTAAAAGAATACATTTTTAAAATTACCTTAAAATATTTTTAAAATATTTTTATGCCTGTATAAAAAGTGAAGTGAAGTGAAGTGTTTGTGTGTGTGTGTGTGTGTGTGTGTGTGTGTGTGTGCGCGTGTGTGTGTTTATTAAGTAACTGGAGAAAAAATAGAAAATGCAGATTAAATCACATTAATCAGAATATCCAAAATTCTGTTGGTTGCCTATTATGTATCTTTGAATCATTGTGTACAAAAGATAATATAGATTCTTAAAAAAATGATTATGAAAGAAACATATGTAGAGAGGGTTTATAGCTATAAATCATTGCTAATATCTATTTAGTACTCATCTATAATTAAATACTTTATATTCAAAACAGAGTAGTGTATGTTTATTCAACAACATATATGTTACTTTTTAATATAATATAAATAGATAGATAGAAAATACTGAAAATCTCTGCTTCATCTAGGATTCAAAAAAAAGCCAAAGTTTCTCATAGTGAACTGATCTTTCAAATAATATTTTATAGTAGTTCATCAAATCCAAAAAATAATTCAGAGACTGCCTCATTCCTTTATTTTATTTTTGGGTAATAGAAATTAATATCTTTTTCTATGTTCTACACTAACATAATAGAGATTTGATTTGATTTAATAGTTACAGAACTGCATGGTTACATATTTTGCACAGAGATGTAGGGTTACAGATAGTCATAGCTTTTAGATATATATAAGCTCTAAAACTTTGTCCAACTTACCAGGTTCATTGTCTTCAGTATAACAGCTACTGGACATGTAAGCAGAGTATTACTGATGAATTAGCTCAGACTGGATCAAATTTACTATATTAGGCAATATTTTTAATATACTTATTCAAGCAATAAGAAAAACCAGCTGATTATATATTGTATCACTACAAACAAAATATAAATTCCTACCAAGAGTTTGCATCAAGCACTTTCATTAAGTATTATATGATTTAAAATGAAAATATAATTAATGTACTTTTTTACAAATTTGTAACTGAGCCAGAAATACTCTATTTCACATAAAATGATGTAAGCAAATGTAATATCTGTACAAATTATACATATCCAACATTAAAAAATATTTTCATAAATGACTTTATAAGCACTTTAATAAAGAAATTCTCTTACCTTGAAGCTTATTTGCTGAAAAAGATGATTCTTCCAATCTGTTTAAATATAGGTGTTTTTGTTGTGCAGAGAGAAATTTTGTCATCTTGCTTGCTGTTCATTCCTTTGGGATCATCATAGCGTTAGCTTAGCTTATGGAACATTGGGTGTGGGAATTGTTTATTTGGCTGGGGGTAATAAATTTCTTTATCATGCTTTTGCTTTTGCTCAGAAAAGAATTGGCAGAGTGGTTGATATCTATGTTGTGTCCAATGAATGTACAGCCAGTACAGACCCTGGAAGTTTAAGGATAAGCCTTTTTGTTTTACACACACATACCTTAAACAAGGAAGAGGCCTAGTTCATTAGGACAATGAAATTCACAGTTATTGCCTTGTTGGATGTTTATCAGGTAGGGATGGAGCCTTTATGGGTGTTACTTAGTTTTCCCCTTACATGGCTGCAGTTATGCTTCCATTCTGAGCCTAATAATGAATATTCACAAGTGCAGACACAGCTATCACTCATTGAAGTCACTGATGATGCTGCCATTTGCATCAGATCAACCTTTGAGGATGGCGTGCCAAGGTGCAACCAAACCTATAACATCGTTACAAGACATGCTGAGCTATCCTATAAGATGGAAATCATATATGAGCAATGCAGGGAGCTGTATGGAAATTATACCCATTCCTATAGAAGATTTAAAATAATTGAGGAAGCCTTATTTTTCCCTTATGATGGAATTGAAGCTTATGTTTCTAACAGGTTTGCCTTATGTGTGGAAGGGGAGATGTGCAATTGGATATGTTAAAATTCCTCCCCATATGAGACTGCTACAAATGAGGCAAAAAAGAAATGTGGCTGGACCTCTAAAGCCTGGAAGTCTTACACCAATAGTGCTTGAACCGAACAAGAGAGAGGGAAATGTCTTTTTGGATTTAATGCAAATGACTTTGAGTAGCTCATCTTTTTGTGTAAAAAGAAGAGACTACAGTCTCTGATAGAATGGCAACATGTTTGTGGAAGAATCGTGTCTGGAAAACACCATAGAACTTAATAATTCTAATCTTTCACATATTATCAGCCTCTTTGGGAGTCCACAAAAGCCCAATAAGTGCACTCATCAGAAAAATCTGGTGATAGAGTTGAAAACAGTATTGCCTGCTAATTATTGTGTACATTACAAGGCTCCTGACAAAAAGACAGGAAAAATCATCTACGTGCAAGTGCCCACTGATCATGTTTTTGCTTGCACTGAAGAGGTAGGACTAGAGGATGCAGGGCTAGGGTTATAGTTACCTAGGGATGATTTTTATTCTGTGGCTTGCATGCTTATGCATGCTTATCTTCGCATGCCATAGGAGGTCCATACACTATTGGATGCTTGACTACTCATATGGTAGTAACTCATTTCAATGATAAACTGCTTCTTTTTATGAGATGATGAATCAAAGTCTTTATCATAAGAATAGAGTGTCACCTAAGAAGGTAATGCCTCCACCTATACGTCATACACATCATACACATCATGCACATGATATGGATGATATCAGAGCAGGTACAGAACCTGTAGATGGAACTCATGAACATGAACATCTAGTTCATGCACATGATGGTGGAACATGACCATGTGGAACCACCTGTAAGGGGACAAGAGCCACATGTTGTTATATAACCAGGTGCATATCCTGCAAGATGGTTTACAACACCAGTGAATATTACCAGAAATGTGGTATAGGGGGAAGAGATGCGTGCTTATGCTTGGCCATCATGCTTGTGCCTTGGCTGAGAGTGCATCAATGAACCTTAATTAGTGATAGCTGCTTTAGCTGATGAGATGGGTGTGTGTGTGACCAGACCGGAGTGACAATTGATTAGGACTTCGAGAAACTTTGTTGTGTCAAAATTGGAGGTTTTCAATTCCTTGAAACAGCTAAATTCAGCTAAGCCAGATGCTTTGCACATCATAATTACACATAGAACACATGTCACTGAAAGCTCAGCTTTTGGGAATGTTTGGAATCATTTGACTTCCTGGTTGCCAGACTTCTCTTCGCTGAAGGAAGCATTTGTGGGAATCATATAATCATTGTGTTATGCTTAGTTACTTGTGTCTGCATAAGATGTGCTTAAAGTGTATCAAATGTAGCCAGTGCTGCTTGATTTGCTTCAGAGGATCTAAGTGCTTAAAGAAGAACGAATTAAGCAGAAGGGAGCCCAGAATTATGATGCAAGAGATTGAGAATTAATTCACCTGAAGTTATCCAAATAACTGCCCTTATTGGAGAGGGTGAATTTGTTGTAGCAGATTGTGGTTTTTAATCTACTTACGAAAGATCAGGACTTGAGACCACAAAGGAAGAGAAACAGG